AGCTTACCTGAAACCTGGAGGGGCACAAAACAGAAAGTGTGAGTGGGCAAAAACAAATGTTTTACAAAACCATTTCATGTCTCAAAAGTTCTAACCCCTCGCCGTAAAACATGTATAATTTTCCCAGAAATAGAATATAAACATATGCATAAGTATATATGTAAATATCTCAATTCAAATCATGCTTCACATATTCATAACCGTAAGTACGCCATGCCAAGATATAACAGAATAAGTAATTCAGGAGAGAATAAATTCATGGAAAATAATATATTAGCCGGAACCCCTGCATAAGTCTGTACGGCTAAATTCATAGCTCATTAGTCAATCTAGCCGGAGTCACTACCATGACCTATACGGCATTACACTGCACATAAGTCGAAACCACTAAGAAGAGGTCTGTACGACAAGACTGGGTGTAATATAGTTATGCTCAACACTACTCTCTCATGATAGCTGGACGATAAATCACTAGTCACCTACGAGTCGGAACCACCTATGATGGTCTGTACGACAGGATTGTGCACCTAAATTGGATCCAATATGAGCATATGATGAGGGAGGTGACATTATATACAGGCTTGTGCCCTATCTCTGGCTAATCATTAACACCGGGGTGCAGGTTTATGAGCTCAATGTTTCTCAATCACATATCACATCATTGATACATCACATAACCAAACATAACTCACCTGGTACTTACTTGAGCGTCCACAACACCATAATTATATATTATGCATCATATATCAACTCATATAGAGAATATAAATTTATATGCATGGCAATTCAAGGCATACTTCATTTAAACGTAGTTTTCTGGGAAAATATCAAGTATATAAGTATATACTGAAAACCAAAAGCCCACTCACACGCCGCCACGTGCTGGTCAAGGCACGACAACACGCACCACCCACACGTAGGGACCCTAACGGAATCCCTTAACCCCCGTTAGGAATATTTCGTTAAACTAACCAACGCCGTTAGGAATATTCCGTCAAAGTTGATGAAATATTCCGTCATCCCCTACCTCAGAACTCCAGCGACCATCGCCGGCGCCGAAAACTGGGAAATTCTTTAAACCTTCATTTCTCGTCCATTTCTCAATCAAATTTCATGAATTATATACCAAAATGAAGCTTAAGACTAGTAGAACAAACCCTTACCAGTTTTAGGACTTAAATCTCACGGGATCTCGCCGGAAAAATCCACGATAATCCGGCCAAACTTAAAACTCGTCGTTCTCGATACTCCGACGTCCAAATTCTTCCAACGAACCACTCCTAACCTCGTGAGGACCTCCTTAAGCTACCTATAAGCTTGAAATCCCAAAAAACCCGTGATTTTACGTTTGCATGAATAGTACCTAAATCGGAGTTTGAGAGAAACTAGGGTTTTCGAAGGAGTTCTTACCTAAAAATGGTACCATTCGACTCGTATAAACCTCATGAACACGATGGTGTCCTTTAAACCCTCGATCTGCAAGCTTTCTGCTAGATTTGTTGTTCGTCCGTACAAGAGAAAGGAGAGAGAGTGAGTCCGAAGGAGAGAGAGCACGGGAGAGAAGAGAGAGGAAGAGTTTGTGTGTGTGTGAGTGGTCCACGTGGGTCACCAACCAAAACCACAAAAACTAAGTTCTAATTTGGTCCAAAAATTAAGGAAAAAATGTACGTTGGGACCACCACTAACATGCATATCACACACCACCACACTCACGTCCATGGGTAAAATAGTCAATTCATGACATCTATAATGTATTTCGGGACGGGCTATGACAACGAGTGTTTATATATTTTTTCACATTTTTCATACTTGTAGGGATGTCTTATTGCCTATACTAATACTATACTAGTTGATTTTAATTTTGGACAACAACATGTTAAGTCAAATTTATCCTATTAATGATAATAAGAAACTCTCATAATAAAAATAAATGAATCAAACTTAATTTTTTTAACTTATATAGAATAATAATACAAAAATATATATTTAATATAGAATATACCAATATATACACTATGGCTATTGTATTTTATAATAATTTTTTTAGTAATTAAACTTTAAAATTATAATTTATTTTTTTTAACGGGTCGAAACAGGTCACCTGATAATAACCCGATTAGTTATCGTATTGACCCGAAACCTGTTATTTTCGTGTTATTTTCATGTCATGTCACCGTATCGTGTAAGAAAGTGCCGGGTTTGTTTGCCCTGGTGTAGTTCCAGTTTACCAAAAAAAATGAAAGGAATGGCGGTGGTAATGGTGGTGGGAGATGAAATCAATGACTCTCCGGCTTTGGTTGTAGCAGATGTTGGCATGGCAATTGGTGCTGGAACCGACATAGCCATAGAAGCCGCTAATATAGTTCTGATGAAGAGCAACTTGGAAGATGTAGTTACAGCCATTGATCTCTCTAGAAAGACCATGTCTAGAGTTCGATTCAATTATGTCTGGGCCCTGGGCTACACTATCCTCGGCATGCCAGTGGCGACAAGAGTTTTGTTCCCCTTCAGTGGAATTCGATCACCACTGTGGCTTGCAGGTGCAACTATGGCTGCTTCATCTCTAAGCGTGGTATGTTCTTATCTCTTATTGTAGTCATATAAGAAGCCTTTGCATATTCAGAGCGTCTCCAACGACAAGCCTTTGCCTGGGCCAGCCCAGGTCCAGTGCGGGCTGGGCGATCGTCGGGGCCGAAAATAATTGCGGGCACCAAAATTATTAGGGTGGTACATTCATAAATATTTTTATAAGAGTATAAATTTATAAAATTCAATCAAATGACCAAAAAGTTTAACTAGAATTGGTTTATGTTGCTTAAAATTAACAAGGATGTCTTGGGTTCAAATCATTTTGTGTTTATTTACTTTCCAATTTTTACGAATTTCATTTCATATGGGTATAAATTTATAAAATTTGGTCAAATGATCAAGAAGTTTAACTAGAAGTGATGGTTTGTGATGTTTAAAATTAATGAGGAATTCCTTAGTTCAAAACGTTATGTTCGTTTTTTTATTTTCCAGTTTTTACGAATTTCTCTTCATAAGAGTATAATTTTTTAAATTTGGTTAAATGATTAAGAAATTTAATCAGAAGCAATGTTCGTTTTTTTTTTTTTTTCAGTTTTTATGAATTTCTCTTCGTAAGAGTATAAATTTTTAAATTTTGGTTAAATGATCAAGAAGTTTAATCAAAAGTAATGGTTTTTGTTCTTTAAAATTAACAAAAGGTCTTGATTTTGAAATGTTATGTGCTTATTTTTATTATTTCCAGTTTTTACGAATTTTTGTTTGGTGTTAATTCCTTTTTAATTACTAGCTAGTAGCTATGTGGGTTATAGTTTTTAGACATTCATTCCAATTCAAGTCTAGCCTTCAACAAAGAGTAATGCACATACCAAACTTTTTTTACCAAATTTGCAAACCATATGACGTGTCACTAATAACAAATAAGCACGTTAATCAATACTTAAGTAATAATCCAATCATCAAGAATCACATCATACTGCTTACAAAATTTGGTTTACAAATTTGGTATCCTAGCATTAGCCTTCGAGAAATTAATGGATGTATGTCTTTACCAATACTAGGTTTAATTTAGTGCTCATGTTGCTTATACATATAAATTAAAGACTCGTATGTTGTTATTTTTTTAGTCTCATATTGACAAGGTTAGTAAATAAGAAAAAACATCTCATGAGTTATATAAAAACACTTTAAAAGTTCGAATAAAAGGGAAACAAAACTCATCATCTATCTACTTGTAAGCCCGGGGTTTTTTAGTTCATTTCTATCAATATAAAATAAATTAATTTTTCCGTATTTCTAAATTATTGAGTTTGAAGTGCTTTTCTAAGTATAATTTTATCGAAGTCTTACGTGTGAAAACAATAATTTTTTATATGAAGTTAGGGCATAATTTTTGAGGTCGACGTGGGCTTCAAAAATCTCAGGACCGGCCCTGGCCTTTGCTACCACTGATTGCTCACTTGCAAGTTGCAACTGGATTGGTGTTAATGGCGGTGTATGCCACCTTCAAGTCGTGCCTTTGAATCTCTCTACATCGGTCTCACGGCAGTCACCATTCCTCCTCACCTAGCTAAGCTATCAGCAAAAAATGAATGGTGTGTGTTTGATATAAAAATCTAAATCAAAAGTCTTCGTTCGACTAATCTATGGGCTGTTTTGGTATTGCTGTGCTTTGAAAAAAAGCTGCTGTGAGAATAAGCGGCTGTGAAATAAATCAGCAGAGTGTTTGGTAAACTTTTTTGTAAAAGTGCTTTTGGAAAAAAAAAGCAGTCTGATAGTGAGTATTTTCATTAAAGGAGCACTGTAGCTCCGTGTGCTTTGAAAAAAAGTCAGTTTTCCAAAGCTGCAAATAGTAGCTTCAACTTTTTCCTTTGATTTCAGCTTATTCTCACAGCAGCTTCCAAAATAAGCCCTTTTTTTTCAGTTTACCAAACACCTAAAATCCTCACAGCTTTTTTTCATAGGTGCTTTTTTTTAAGCACCTCACTCTCAAACTAGGTCTACTTCTCCTCACTTCGACATAGAAGCCGGACTTTGACTATTAATGCAAAAAATGAATGGTGTGTGTTTGATATGTAAAAATCCAAATGACAGAAGCCTTCGTTCGAGTTCCACTAGTCCAAGTCTAAGGATGAAAACCACTACAATTGAGGAAAGTATATATATTCTGTGTGTATACGGAGGAGAGAAGTCATTTCCTACTATCGAAAATGTTTTCGATGATACACTGCTTGTGTTATATCTATATGATGATTATGACTAATTACTTAACTGCAGGTGCATTAGCAATAGCTCATACCAATTTCAACACTGATCAGTCGGCGCTTCTTGCTTTCAAAGCTCACATCACTAGTGACCCTCAAAACATCTTGACCGCCAACTGATCGTCTGCCTCCAATTCCGACGTTTGCAATTGGGTTGGCGTTACCTGCGGTGCTCGCCACCATAGAGTCACGGCCTTAAATCTCTCGTACATGGGTCTTGCCGGAGTTATTCCTCCGCATCTAGGCAACCTCTCATTTCTCGTTGCGTTGGGCCTTACAAATAATAGTTTTCATGGTCCCCTACCCCAAGAACTATCTCGTTTGCGCCGGTTGAAGGCGATTCACTTTGAAAACAATAACTTTATGGGAACCATTCCTTCGTGGTTTGGGTCCTTCCCTATACTTCAAATCTTCACATTGTATGGTAATCGCTTCTCTGGTTTCATACCCGCTGCTATCTTCAACTTATCTGCACTTGAAATAATTGATCTGAGCAACAACCAACTATCGGGTACGTACATATATACCACCATTACCAACCACCTAGGAATATAAATTAATGTTCCTTGCTTCATCATTACATTTTAACATCTATATATATGATGTATAACAATCATATCGTTTGTTTTTTTTTTCTTTCTCTTTTGTTGGAATGCATGCACATATTTAACAGGCAGCATACCCAGAGAAATAGGCAACTTAACAATGGTGAAAGGCATATACCTTGACGAGAACAAGTTCGAGGTATAATGTATGACTTAGGTTTCGTTCCGTATATATATATGAGCCCATTCTTAGCAGGAATCTCGTTCCACTTTAGCAAAAAATGAGATGAGAGACTATCTTAGGATCGTATATTTATCATGTAAGACCCTCATATTCTGGAGCAAAAAGATGTCGTATATGGTGAATACATGGTCCTTATAATGTTATCCCTCTTTTGCTACAGTACAACAGGACTCCCACTAAGAAGCTGTTACTATATATGTTTACATGATTTTAACAATATATACGGATTGATTTTATAGAACTTCCGAACGAGATAGGCAGTTTAGGTCAGTTGGAGGAGTTGTTTGTGCAGGACAATGCCCTAAAAAGCTCTGCTCTTGTCCCCGTCCTCAACATATCTTCTTTGACTACTTTCACTCTGTTCGGAAACAACATGAGTGGCAGTCTTCCGGACAATATGTGTGAGCATCTTTCTAGTGTTCGACAATTTTCTTTGGCTCAAAACCAGCTTGACGGTCTGATTCCCTCCAAACTGTGGCAATGCAAAGAGCTTCGTCAATTCTCATTAGGGTCTAACAATTTCCGTGGAAGCATACCCAAAAGTCTTGGCAATTTGATCTACTTAATCCAGATTTTTCTTAATGGCAATAATTTAACAGGTAATAAATTTAGAACTGTTTGATAATCATTTAGTTTTTAGTTTTTAGTTAAACTGAAGTTACAAATTTAATGTAAACGTGATGAAATTGTGACAGGTACAATACCGGATGAGATTGGTGATCTTCCACAGTTAGAGAATTTGCAACTGACGATTAATAATCTCAATGGCATCATCCCATCCAAACTCTTCAATAACTCCATGATAAGACACATATGGCTTTCTTTAAATCAGCTTTCAGGTAGCCTCCCAGCAAACATAGGTCTTTACGCTCCAAACCTAGAATTCCTTGGTGTAGCCAAAAATAACCTCGCGGCCGGACTACTCCCTAACCTCTCCAATGCTTCCAAGCTCAGGGAACTAGACATGAATACAAACTCATTTACCGGGGTTCTTCCTAGCACGCTATGTTCCTTGAAAAACCTCAAGTATCGTTCCTTGTACTCGAATAATTTGACGACTGATGCTTCTACTCCACAAGCATCAAGCACTCTCTCTTGCTTGTTTAATCTTAGAGATTTGACAAAATTATACTTGTCACACAATCCACTAAACACCACAATTCCAGCTTCTCGCGGGAATCTTTCTATGTCACTCCAAAGAGTTGATTTAAGCATGTCCAACATCAGGGGTAACATTCCCGTTGATATTGGCAACTTGAGTAGCTTGATTGCATTAGACGTGGATAACAATCAGTTGAGTGGAGCAATTCCAACTTCAATACAAGGGCTACAAAATCTCCAAGCTTTGTATTTGAATGATAACGAACTGCGAGGACATATCCCGTACGAAATCTGTCAACTAAACAACCTAGCTGAGTTACGTTTGGGTGGTAATCGGCTCTCTGGTTCTATTCCTTCCTGCTTGGGTACTTTGGCAGTAGCTCTAAGAAGTCTATCGTTAAGGTCCAATTTGTTGACTTCTAAAATACCATCTTCCTTGTGGGAAGTCAAGTATATATTGCACCTAAACTTGTCATCCAACTCTCTAGTTGGACCACTCTCAGAAGATATCGGAAAGTTGAAAAATGTGGTGGATATGGATTTATCAAATAACCATTTCTCCGGAAACATTCCCGGTAACATTGGGGGTCTTCAGAATATGATTAATTTTTCCTTGGCAAAAAATTATTTAGAAGGCCCTATTCCCAGTTCATTTAAAACCTTGCTAAGCCTAGAATTCTTGGATTTGTCCAAAAACAATCTATCTGGAGTGATCCCTAAGTCATTGGAAGCACTCTTGTATCTCAAGCATCTGAATTTGTCTTTCAACAAACTCCAAGGAGAAATTCCAACAGGCGGGCCTTTCGGAAACTTCTCTGCGGATTCATTTGTATCAAACGGTGCACTTTGCGGTGCTTCCCGACTCCATGTTCCACTGTGCAAAAATAGAACAAAAGTTGAGCCAAATTGGAGGAAAGCTAAATATATCATCTCAGGGGTCATATCAGTGATACTCTTAGCAGCCACTGCATTGATTCTAATACTATGCAGGAAAAGGAATGTTGAAGTTGTAACAGAAACTGCCTCGCTGCGTCAAGTACTTTGGAGAAGAGTTTCACGCCTAGAACTTGTAAGGGCGACAAATGGATTTCATGAGAGTAACTTACTAGGCAAGGGGGGTTTTGGCTCAGTATACAGAGGAACACTTTCAGATGGGATAGATATTGCCTTCAAGGTTTTCAATTTACAGCTAGAAGGGGCATTCAAGAGTTTTGATAAGGAATGTGAAGTGCTAAGCAAAATTTGTCATCGGAATCTTATTAAAATCATAAGTTGCTGCGATGAACTTGATTTCAAAGCCTTGATACTTCAATTGATGCCTAATGAAAGCCTCGAAAAGTGGTTGCATTCTCCAAACCGCTTCATGAATATCCTACAGAGGTTGGACATAATGAAAGATGTTGCATTCGCACTAGAATATCTTCATCATGGTTACTCGATACCTGTTGTTCATTGTGATGTGAAACCAAGCAATATACTACTAGATGATGATATGGTTGCACATGTTGCTGATTTTGGCATCGCAAGACTTATCAGCGAAGGAGATTCGATGACGGAAACCATGACCCTAGCCACAATTGGATATATGGCTCCAGGTGATGTATTTTTTTCAATTTTGTATATGTTGGTCTTAATTATGAGCTATAATTTTCTTTTTATCATATATAACTAAATTCACATACAAATTTTGCAGAGTATGGGATGGAAGGAATCGTTACGACAAGAGGGGATGTGTATAGTTTTGGTATTGTACTCATGGAGACATTTACAAAAAGGAAGCCAACAAATGAGATGTTTGTTGGGGAAATGAATTTAAAGCAATGGGTTGCACATTCATTATATCCAGATGCTGCTATGGATGAAGTTGTAGATGCCAATATACTTAGCAAGGAAGAAGATGGTGATTTCGTGAGCAGGAGGGATTGCTTATCATCTGTTATGAGATTAGCTTTAGCTTGCTCTGCAACATTGCCGGAAGAGAGGATTAACATGAAAGATGCCGCAGTCACACTCAATAAAATCAGGACCAAGTATTTGAAGGACTGGAGGACAGAATTTGTAGTTCTTGTTGTTCTCTATATTTTCAAATCCATTTTCATATTGTTGTTTTCGATCTGCAAAGACTACATTATTTTCTAGCCAACCAAATTCATTTCAAAATTTTACACTTCGAGGTTACGAACGCGAGTCATGGGAACAAAAACTTATTTCAGTCAATATATCAGGAAGTTAAAAACTTATACACATGCCTTTGCCAAAAAATTACAGGCCAGTGAGGCTGCTACTCTAGAGAGTTCAATAAATTTACTGCTTAAGTTAGGTTTTTTGGCTGCTTCCCCAATTTGTGCTCATCTTTTTAACAAAAGGAACCAAGTTACTCCAATTTTCAGCCATAAAGATCTTATCATTCATTCTGAAATACGTGAATGATCTTACTGCTTCGGCTTGGGAATGGTAACAGTTAGCATGTATTTTCCATAAACCAACCTGAAAAGGAAAAACAGACGCGTGAATACGCAGGACAAAATGGGCAAAAGAAAAAGTGGTTTAACTATAAAAACTCTATTAGAAGCCATGTGTTTCTAGTTGCAAGACATTTGCAATATCCAATATATGTGTAATAGATATAAACTAGAAAATGTGTCCGCGCTTTGCTGCGGGCGTTGAATGTATTAGTCGCAACATGCATGAATTGTTTCCACAAAGCAACTAAAAAGACGTTGTAGTACCTAAGAACCAATGAAGTCAAACTTTGCTTGCTATTTATGGATATGCATGCCATAAGAAACATTCATTTGTAGATCGTATTGTATCATCAATATCATTCATAGTTTCAAGTAATGAGCCTACTACATGGAGGAAAAACCCAGGAAAAGGAAAGTAGAAAAGTAGATGCCTGAGCATCTGGTAGGAATAGTAAGTTTCTGAAAATATTACTAAATCGTCTTACAAATTCAACCATTAAACGTTATACTGTAACCCAAGACAAAGATAAAGTATATAGTTTGTTTACGAATCAAAACTAAGTGCTGCTATAATCAACAACAGCTATGAATCATTTCCACATAAAGATGCTCAAATTTGAGGGCACATTAAATAACCAGCAAGCAAAGCAAAATACGGCATGTGCTAACACGAAACTAAAACAAAAGAAGGATTAAATATCAAAAAATTTCCATAAGGCATCAATTGACAAAATGCTTCTTAATGTGGTCTTCCAAGAAATGAATGCAGCTCCAAACAACTCAGAAAACATCTTAGAAATCTTTATCACCCGAATCTTACTAAATATAAGCATAAATGGACAGGATAGCTCCCTAATTTTTCCTTGGCATAAATCTGTACATTGCAAGTTTAATCCAACGAAACAAATATGCGTGTAGTAAAAGGCATCAACACTACATGTACGGCTTTACAATCATCTCAAGTTGCTGACACAACCAAAATTCAACTTCCGAACTTATATGTCGTTCTCAATAATTGAGGTATCTTTACAACATACTGATTCTTAGTTATAATAGCTATCATGGTTGCATGGTATTAATCTTCTACACAACAAAAAAAAGCAAGTGCTTCCCACCCTAGGAAATTGTTAAGCGCCTATCATACTAATTGATGGTGCTTCCCAATCTAAAGAGTCAATGACAATAAAGCAGCAGATTAGTGAATAGTTAATTATGATTTGTTTTGGGTCCAAAGAAACCTTGTTAGGTGATGGTGAATCAATATGAAAGTCAACGATGCTGATTTCAAAATGGATACTGAAGAGCTATTCATTGAGTGAAGTAACTATTAAATCTGTTACATTACAGCAGGAGAAGTCTAATATATGCAGAAAGCCGCATAAGTAAATATATACCAACAGAAAAGTGGGCTAATCCAACCAATCTCACCAATGGACATTGTCACCTGAGCAATTGTCGGACTAAATCTTTGATGAAACAAAAAACTGCTGAGGAAAATGATCAACAACAACAAAGCCTTTTCCGACTAAGTGGGGTCAGCCTGAGGAAAATGATCATTACCAAAATTCCATTTTGAACAAATATATGGACCAATCTGAAGATGAATATAGAGCCCTACCTTGTAAACCGTCTTTGAGCCAACCAATTACACAAATCTAAATAAGAGATGGCAGAAAAGGAATATGAAAAAAAAATGTGTGTATGAGTTATGCATCTTGCTTGAATGCTATCTATCAATGGTAATTCCCAAATCCAAACAAACACCAAATCAAAACCCCAAAGCCAAACAGGGCAACTACATATATATTAAATTCACAATAACACATAAGTAAAATTGAGCAAAATTTAGCATCTTCCATCTTCACCATAGCAGGTGGACTCATCTAAACCCTAGCTGAACCAAACCAAAATCAAGATTACTAAAGTTAATTCCAACCATTATTTTCTATAAAATCATACCTCACAGTTAAAAACAAAACAAAATTGAAGGGTTTTACATGGATTTGTGAATGCAAGAATTTGAATTTTGATAAACCCACCACTGTAAAAACCCCAAAATCCTGAGATTTATACCCAAAAAATAAAGAAAATTTCCAAGACATAAAACCCTAAAACCACAAACCCCAAATCTGCCCTCCTTGAGGAACCATCAGAGAATCAAATTGGAGAAATCACACATAAGGGATTAGAGACCATCACATACCGACTTGGAAGAGGCAACCTTCGCGTGAGAATGGTGATATTAATATAGAAGATAAGGATAAAATAATTAGTGAGTAATGACACGCCAATTACATGCCCACACACTTCCCCCGTGCGAAAGCAAGTAAAAGCGAAACCATAATATAGGTTTCTTTGTGAAGATAACTTGTATAAAGAAAGGTAATTACTTCAAAACTTATTTCCATTGATAAACATCAACGTAAATTTTGCATGAGACATATTTCCAGTCTATTTAAAATGTCACCAAGAAATTTACCCCATACGATTTACAGCCAAACATACAGCGTAAGATAAAGAAAACATCTGTGTTTCTCATTCTGACTTGGATAAATGGCCTAAGCTATGAGAAATTATCAAATTTCTTTTGAGTTTTTTAAATTTTTTTAATAGGGCAGGAGTTTTGCTGGATGGAGCCCATTTCATCCAAGTTCTAATTATAATTGTTGTAATACAGAGTTTAGTGCAGAAGAGTTTGATATATAACTATTAAAAATCACATAAAATTCAGTATCCATGTAAAGAGTTCACGTTTGCAGAAGCAACAACAACAAAGCCTTTTCCCACTAAGTGGGGTCAGCTCTATGAATCCTAGAACGCCATTGCGCTCGGTTCTGTATCATGTCCTCTATCATGTCCTCTGTTAGATCCAAGTACTCTTAAGTCTTATCTTAGAGTCTCTTTCAAAGTTTTCCTAGGTCTTCCTCTACCCCTTCGGCCCTGAACCTCTATCCCGTAGTCGCATCTTCTAACCGGAACCTCAAAAATAACTAACCTCGTCGACAGCATTACATTGCCATCTTGAGGCACCCTGCTAATCCTTGCAGGCGGGTTTTGTTGCAGCCTCTTGAAGTCTCTCATCAGCCTCTTCCTTGTAGGGTTGACATCGCTAATTTGCTACCACCTATATATCATCAAACCAATTTAATAAACCATATTTTAAGATTAACTATGCATTGAGTGCAAATCAATTTCATATTTTTTTCCAATACCCACCAAAACATCAAAAACCACTTGCGTACACCAAATTGCATACAAAAGATATTGGGGCAACTCAGACTGCGCAACAAAAACACATAATACAAATACTTCAAACTACAACGTAGATAGCTTCAGCTTGGCTACATATAACCGAATTCAAAGCTCAAGACCTGAAATTGAGCTCAAAAACTGGAAATCTCAATTCAATTAAGCAGCTTTTCAAATGCTTACAGCTTAAACATGCATGATAACAAAAAGAAGCATCCTTTCTTCACTAATAGGACACTAACAGAAAAACCCTAATTCATATTATTCAGATTACAAATACACAGGCAACCAAATAGCTAAATAAAGCTGGACAATTTGACCCCAATCCAACACAATAATTGTTCTGGTTATACATGCGATACCCGCCTAAAATATCAACCAATTCCAAATTAAAATGGAAAATGAAATGAAGCAACATAAATTGAATACAATTTAGGGAATATTTTCTCACCTGGAGTTCCGAAAGAAAACAATTTCAATTAACAAATTGTTTTGGGAGAGAAAATGGAAATTCATTAATACAAATGCCAACGTTAGAAATCTGAGCCACTGAGATTTGTTAATGTACTGCTATCGTAATATAGCAAAGCATAGCTGCATGGGAGTATGACTGCTCTCTATTACTTACCAGTTTTAGTGAGACGTAAACAAAACAATTCTCTTCTCTATGCAGAAATCCCTACAAAACAAAGACAAAGTTAAAAATTCGAACATTGAGATATAATAGCTTGTACAAACGATGTTCAAAACATGAAGACTAATGACTAATTAAAGATATTTCACTTGTAGTTTTATGAAAATAAATTCAATTAAAAAAAAACATAAAATTAATAACAACCCAGAAATTAATTGACGATTTATACAAAACTCAGAAAAATTACTAAAATTCATATAAAATTACATAAAAATGTCATAAATTAAATGATGATTCAGATAAAATGAAATCACATCAAAATAAATTTTAAATGAACAATACTCCAAAAACAAAAAAAAAAAAAAAAAAACATAAACGAACAAAAACATGAAAAACTTAATAAAACCCAATTTAAACGACGAACTCCATCTGAAGCAGATTTTCACATGCAATAGTTCTAGAAGATGCCTAAGATGATAAGGAGTCATTTGAGACCATCAACTCAACACCATTTGAACGCAATCACAAAATCAAAAAGGACAAAATGGGCAAACAAAAAAAATGAGGAAGTACCTACCTTGAGCTTGAAAGAGAGAGGAGGAAGAACGACGGTGCCTTTCTTCTGCAAAATTTTGCTGATGTTGTTTCCAGCCGTCGCCGCCACCGCTAGGAAGATAGACTCTCACATCCCCAAGAACCCTAATTTATAAACTCCCAATATAACGCAAAAAGGATGGAGGAAACCCAAATAAAGGGAAATTCGAGAAATTCAACATACCGTAAGAAGCTTTCTGATGGCCAAATTCATTGACAACGGAGGCGATTGTCGACCTTCACTGTACCACCATTTCGCGCCCTCCATGTTTGAGGCTTTCAACCGTCACTACTTGGTTTGTGGGCTTCACATCAAGAGATATGGGGAGCGGAGAGAAAGGAAGAGCAGAGGAAGATGAAAGATTGTGGGTTTTCCAGTAGAGAAGGAGAGAGGAGGGATGAGAGATGACAGAAGAGAGCTCACGCGTAGGAGAGAAAGAGGAAGAGAGATGAGAGGCGTCAAACCCGATTCCTAATCCGTCCCAAACAGTACGGAAAAAATGTGGGCATTTTGGTCAACAAACAAAATAGTGGCAGAGTTGTAAATAGAATGAAATCCGGTGCAAAACACTGTTCAGTTGAACAGTGCAATTGGATTTCCTACTTTTTTTAATTTTTTTAATTTTTGGGTGAACTGGAAATTCTCATAACTAGAGTAAAGGTGCCAAAAGTATACAATTAAAGCCAACAATGAGGCAAGCAACATAATAATAAACTGGGTAATGCAAAAGGGAGAAAGGGAACCAGACGTTGCAAACATAGCTAAAAAAGTCACCCCTTACACTACCAGTACAAATTTAAGGAGAGCAAGGTAACCCATCATTGTTTAGGATATAAACAAGTGAAGATGGAGGTCTATCGACCCAGGTAAAGTCACATATCACTAAGTATCTTCGTGACGCCAAGTGGTCTACCGACATATTGGCTGATCTTAGAATCCAAGATCAACGACAGTCTTGGAAGGATTCTCCAAGTTTCTTGCTCTTCGCCAGAGTGAGAAAAGCCTCTCAAGTGCCATTTGTTATCTTACTCCTGAGGCAAGAGATTGATTCCAAACAATCAGATTCAACAACAAAATTCAATTCGAAGGCAATACCTAACTCGCATCCATGAAGAATGGCCATCACCTCTGTCGTAGCAACATAGGGAGCATTAAGACTATATCTACGAGCTGCAACAAAGCTGCTAGATGAGTCCGGCACTACGTGAAGGAAATCTTTTGGGAAAACATGTTCATTTGAGCAACATCATATAGCATGCAATTAACAATTAAAGGCGGAATCATGCTTGTATGCACTCAAAAACAAAACATTACCATGAAATTCAAAGCCTAGTAGATTGGTGAACCAATAATCAACTCAAAACAAAGTGAGTTGAAATTAATACCTTTGTAGATTCCTCTTTGCATAAGCAAAGGCTAATCACCCAAAGAGATAGGGCCTTCATTCCTTGCTTCTTAGATCCATGGATTTGGATGGAAGAATAGGTTCTCCAAGTTCCCAAAATTGAGAACCTCTAAGTCTCTTCACCAAGGTTAGATTGTAGAAGAAATGAGTGACCTTGGAGTAGTAGGATTGCTAGATGTACCCTCCAATGTGTTGGCCTCTTTAGAGAGAAAATGGAGAGACAATTCTCACCAATTTTCCCCAAAAATAAACCCTTTTAATCCTTAATGAATATTTGGCTATAAAGTCATTTATATAGTCACTTCTTTAAGTGACCTAAAATAACCAAAACCCTAATTCATTCCATATGGCTGGCCATTTAGGGATTTTTGGGCTTTTGGGCTTTAATGAATCTTTATTCATTAAATTGTCATACAACTTAAGTTAATGGGCTTGACGTTCGAAGCCCATTGGGCCTTAAGGTCCAAAACTATCCCGAAGTCATTTAACGAACTTATTCGTTTGATTAATTAACATATTAATTAATCCTTGCCATAAATAAATGATTAAACCATTTAATCATTCTTACTCATTTCCGTTTAATCTCCAATCTCTACCTTTTATGGTGTGCGATCCATTAGGTTCCTTTTAGCGAGGTAGTGGGCGATTAAAACCATTTTACATCGATTGTGAATTGAAACTATTTTCAATTCTCCCTTTAGTGATTACACACGTTTAGGGCTTCCACAAACCATGAGTGACACCTAGCAGCATATCATGGTTATCCAAGCTAATCAGAAGAGGTGGAGAACCTATTCAGTTCGAGATTACAAATGCAATACGGTCTTTCTCTAATCTAATACTCTTGACCACATTGTTTGGTTTGATAGTTTATTTTCTCATGTCTACTATCCAATATGTGTCTTGTGCTTATATGATTACCTTGAATGTGATTCGGAACGCATTCCCTAATCTCATTCATACTCTGGCTAGAGATTCAAATCATATCAGAGAGTATTCTCCCTCAAACGGTTTGAAGGTTAGAGATCCCTTGTTGCGCATTCACTTGTCTCCATAGATAAGTGGCTTGACCCCCAACGATGCCGTGGACACCCTCCTGATGGAGTGACTTTGACATAATCAAAGATCAAGGACTTAACCACAAGACAACTATGATGCCTCAGGTCAAAGGACTACTTTGCATTATCCCAACCATGAGTTCTCATGTGACATAGAATATGAGAACTCTTCGTTGATCGCGTTCAGTGAACTCATTCTCTATTGAGCACCTACCGTACTTGTCTTGATGTCACACACACCAATGATTCGAGACTAATCACTCTCCCTGAGAGAAGACATAGTACGTACTGATCTTAACGGACTGTCAACGCCCAATTGGCAATCCTATGATCAGGAACGTTTAGGATGTGTCTACGAAAGAATGGTCTCATGAATCTAACTTCATTAGATTACATTCTCCCAATCACATATTCCTTGGACTTTATCGTTTAAGCATATAACATTTATATGAGACGGCTCAAACAATAATCTTTGCCCTTTATATGTAAAACTAGATTAGTTTAACATGTGAAATGTCCGTAAAGTATCATCACATGATTGGCTTTAGGGCACATTTCCAACAATCTCCCACTTGCACTAGAGCCAATCAGCTTGGTCATCTTGATGATACCTCTTCTGTAGTCATTTCATAAATGGCTAAATAGTAGGCCTAGACAGTGGATATTCATATGTGTTATCCATAGAAGCAACCTTGAGAATAACGACGTCACCATTATACATGATTCTCAATCATGTGGTTCAGTCTCTCATTTGAGTTCGGATCTTGATGAGACCTTGATTCCCAGGCTTGAGCTATCGCCCCATTAGTGTCATACACTTTCTGGTTGGAATCGAATAGAGAGTTCATAAATGAACTTTCCCATCCAAACAACATTGTTGTAAACTTCTATATGGCAATATATCTTGCATTCATAATGGAACACACTAAAGTCATTACTTTAATGTTTCCATCCAAATATCTCTTTAGTCATAATAAAGAGATATTCGTTTATCTCTTCATTCATAATGAAGAAACATCCAATGATGGATTAGATTCATAATCTAATACATTTACGCTTCCATTACGTTACTTTGATTCTTCCTCGATCTTTGAGGAATTTATCCTTTAGTATTTCTTAAATACTTAAGGACTCACTTGACAGTTGCCATGGTTCTGATCCTGGGCTTGCACTGATATCGTCTTGTACCGTTCTAGGTACAACTCATATCAATGTTTTTCATATAATATGAAATACATAAATCACCTTTCTGCGTATGCATAAAGGATTCAATTTACGCATTATTTCTTTGGGAGTCAAAGGGTACATTCCCTTTGAGAAGGGCAACTTGCTAGTCTCACTAGAATCGTCCTTCTTATTGAAGTTTATCATCATATAAGAAACTTCCTAGCATCCATTGTCTATTATTAGGGATTGATATAATCCAATTATATCATGAAATATATCATTATAGATTTCCATCCCATGTATATAGACTATATCTCCCATATACATTCTATCTTCATATAATGTATTAAAGTCATAACTTTAACGAAGAAGTATTCTTTTCATTTCCAAAATTAATATATCATATATATTTAAATTTTTAGGAACATGATTAACTCCCACTAATCTTTTGTAAAACTAGTAAACAAAAGATTCATTTACATCTTTATGAGAAATCAAACGATTTGATCCTTTTTCCTCATAAAATGCAAATAGCTCCCACTAACTTGCTAAGATCCATGATGGATGGATCTCTACAACTTATATGTCTTGTGATTTATAGTTTTAGACATATATTATCAAGACTATCTTAATAATGGTTTCGGAAACCCATATTATGTCAAAACATTGAATCACCATTTAGTTGTAGCTAGCAATCTTCGAATTAATTGAAACTAAGACTACGTCAAAAATGGTTCCTTTAAAGTCAACCATTCTCTTTGATTGTAGTCACCTTAAGCTACCAATTAGCTATGAAGGTTTCATTATTTCGAGTCAAATGGTACTTTACCATTTTCTTGAGTATATATTGTATATGCACTCAATGTAGTCATAAAGTTCAAAACCATTCAACTGAGACGGTTTATAAATCCTTATCGACTACCTTGGAGCTTGTGGTATAGGAACTAGGTTGTTATATTTGTTGATTACTATCTTGTCTCTCAAAGAACCCATTCTTCGAGTTCTATCTCTCGTTCATTTGCTTTTAGGCAAATCACATTGTAGAATTACAATGAACTACCCAACAAAACAACATTTGTTAGTTGGTTTATAGAAGCGATATCCAAAAGTTATTTTAAGGATATCCTACAAGATTGTTATCTAACAAATATTGCTTATTAGCACACAACCCCAAATCTTTAACATGCTTAAGATTTGTCTTTCTTTCCAATTACATCTTTATGGAGTCATGAAAATATTGGACGATCTTCTCATTGACAATCATATTGTTTTAGAAGTATATATCCTATATATGGGTAATAGATAATATCTAACGAACTAAAACTTATTCGAGTTCGTTCTTCTCCTAATGGAGAAATACATTATCTTATGATGCTTATTTCCTTGATATCTTTCAAGGAAACTTATCTAAAGTGTTACCTTTCTTGGATCAAATCTAAGGAGGTAAATACTTTAGATGTCTTACTCATCAACTTACATTACTTGAATTCTTTGAAACATTTTGCAAAGTATTCGGACTTGTGTTTATTCAAAATAAACTATAGTCCAACCGAGAGTGATCTTCGGTGAATGTCAATCAACATGAGTGTATTTATGTTTGTGGACAAGTGCCACTAACATCTAAGTGAATTGGCCTCAACAACTTTGTGATTCTTTCTTCTTTTCAAAAGAATAAAGATTCGAACATTTCGCCTCTATACAATTTTAACAAGAAGGTATTGGATCCGGATCTAACGATCCAAAGCGTCCATCTATGACCAACTCGTAATTTATGTTTTAGAGGTATCACAACTTTAGTTGGGATTAGTCACTACCTTGCAA